GCGTGTCCCCACGTCGCCCTGCCCCGTGGTGTCCCCCTCACCCTGTGGTGTCCCTGCGTCCCCTCACCACCCCGTGGTGTCCCCGTGTCCTGTCCCCACAGTGTCCCTGCGGTGTCCCCCCATCCCCGTGGTGTCCCGCTGTCCCCCTGCCATGCCGTGCCGTCCCCGTGTCCCTACAGTGCCCCACATGTCCCCCCTGTCCCCGCGGTGTCCCCGCAGCGTCCCCGTGTCCCCCTGTCCCCGCAGTGCCCCTGCGCTGTCCCCCGGTCCCCCTGCCGCCCCGTGCTGTCCCCGTGTCCCCGCGGTGTCCCCGCGTGTCCCCCCGTCCCCGGGGCCACCTGTGCATGGCGAGCAGCAGCGGGCGGCTGCGCGGGCCGAGCAGCGGGGCGAAGCGCCGCGCCAGCGCCCGCAGCTCCGCGAAGCCGGCGGCCGCGCGCACCTCGGGGCCCTCCTGCAGCAGCAGCTCCGTCATCAGCTGCGGGCGGCACGGGGGCGTCACCGGCCCCGCGGGGACACGCGGCCCCACGGAGCGACCCCCCAATCCCTGCAGGACTCCTTGGATCCAGGGAGCACCCAGGAGCCCCCCAGGGACCTCACGGCGGGGGGACCCGGTGCTGGCACCATCCCTGTCCCCATGTAGGGACCCCCCAAATCCCTGCAGGACTCCCCAGATTTTGGGAGGAGCCCCTGGCTTTGCTGGGAGCCCCTGAGTGCTCAGGACCTCCGCAGGGACCTGTCCCCATTTCAGGGGGGGACCCGCTGCTGGTACCATACCTGTCCCCATGGAGGGACCCCCCAAATCCCTGAAGGACTCCCCTGATCTGGGGAGAAGCCCCAGCTTTGCTGGGACCCCCCCAGCACCCGGGACCCCCCCAGGGACCCATCCCCTCTTGGGGAGACCCAGTGCTGGCGCCGTCCCCACAACGGGGGGCCGATGGGGGACCCCAAGGGTGCCTCCGCGCGCGGTTCGGGGTCCCTCCCGCTGTGGGGGTGTCCCGGGACCCCCCCCGTCACCTGCTGCAGGCTCAGCAGCAGCGTGGCCGCCCACTGGTGCGGGTCGCGGCGCCGCGCGCCGTCCATCGTCTCCTTGATGATGTCCCCGTAGGCGCTGTGGAACTGGGGGGGACCGCGAGGGGGGTCCCCAAGTGTCCCCCGTCCCCCGTGTGTCCCCATGTGTCCCTGTGCGTCCCTGCGTGTCTCCTGTCCCTCGCATGTCCCCGTGTGTCCCCCATCCCTCGCGTGTCCCTGTGTCCCCACTTGTCCCCATATTTCCCCACGTTTCCCCATGTGCCCCCACATGTCCCCTGTTCCCTGCACGTCCCCACGTGTCCCTGTGCATCCCCATGTGTCCCCGCATGTCCCCGCGTGTCCCCCGCCCCTCACGTCCCCCTGCGTCCCCCTGTGTGTCCCCACGTCCCCCACATGTCCTCCGTCCCCTGTGTGTCCCCACGTCCCGCCGCGTGTCCCGTGTCCCCGCACGTCCCCGCGTGTCCCCGCGTGCCCCGCGCACCTTGGCGTAGTGCTTGTAGACGTCGGAGGCGGCGCTGGGCTCCAGGACGCCGCAGAGCAGCAGCTTGCAGAAGCCGGCGAGCAGCGTGCGGCGCCGCTGCAGCCCCTCGGCAGCGCCCTCGCCCGCCTCTGTGGGCACAGGACCGCGTCGGGGACACGTCACGGGCATGGGGACTGCGTCGGGGACACGTCGTGGGGACAGGGACTGTGTTGGGGACACATCACGGGGATGGGGACCGCGTTGGGGACATATCACGCGGATGGGGACTGTGTTGGGGACACGTCACAGGGATGGGGACTGCGTCGGGGGCAAGTCACGGGGATGGGGACAGCGTTGGGGACACGTCATGGGCATGGGGACCACAATGGGGACACGTGGCGGGGATTGGGACCGCGTTGGGGACATCTTGCAGGGATGGGGACAACCTCGTGGGAACGGTGACAGCGTTGGGGACACATCACAGGCACAGGGACTGTACTAGGGACATGTCGTGGGGATGGAGACCGCGTTGGGAACGCGTCATAGGGATGGGGACAATGTCACGGGCACGGGGGTCGCGTTGGGGACACATCATAGGGATGGGGACTGTGTTGGGGACACGTCACGGGGATGGGGACAACGTCACGGGCATGGGGACCGCGTTGGAGACACATCACGGGGATGGGGACCGGGCTGGGGACACGTGGTGGGGATGGGGACAACCTCATGGGGACAGGGACAGCGTTGGGGACATGTCAAGGGCATGGGGACTGCGTKGGGGACACGCCATGGGGACAGGGACTGTGTTGGGGACACGTCACGGGGATGGGGACCACGTTGGGGACGCGTCACCGGGATGGGGATTGTGTTGGGGACATGTCGCAGGGATGGGGACAACCTCATGGGGACGGTGACAGCGTTGGGGACACATCACAGGCACAGGGACTGTATTGGGGACACGTCGTGGGGATGGAGATTGCATTGGGGACACGTCACAGGGATGGGGACAATGTCACGGGCACAGGGGTGGCGTTGGGGACACGTCATAGGGATGGGGACTGTGTTGGGGACACGTCACGGGGATGGGGACAACGTCACGGGCATGGGGACCGCGTTGGAGACACATCACAGGGATGGAGATTGTGTTGGGGACACGTCGCGGGGATGGGGACAACCTCGTGGGGACGGGGACAGTGTTGGGGACACGTCACAGAGATGGGGACCTCATCGGGGACACGTCACAGGGACACGGACCGTGATGGGAACAGTTTCTGGGGACGGGGACTGCGTCGGGGACACATCACGGGGATGGGGACGGCGTCAAGGACACCTCGTGGGGACAGGGATGGCGTCGGGGACATGTCATGGGGATGGGGACAACGTTGGGGACACGGCAGAGGGATGGGGACAGTGTTGGGTACACCACTGGGGATGGGGACAGCGTCGCGGGGATGGGGATGGTGTTGGGGACACGTCATGGGGACGGGGCCATGTCACGAGGATGGGGACAGCGTCGGGGACACCTCGTGGGAAAAGGGATGTTGTTGGGGCCATGTCGTGGGGATGGGGACAGCGTCGGGGATGGGGACGATGTCACGGGGACGGGGACAGCGTCGCAAGGACAGGGACAAGGTCGGGGCCACGTCACGAGGATAGGGACAACGTCGGGGATGGGGACAGTGTCACAGGGACGGGGACAGCGTCGGGGACATGTCAGGAGGATAGGGACAACGTTGGAGATGGGGACAGTATCGCGGGGATGGGGCCAGTGTCGGGGACACCTCGTGGGAACCAGGATGGCGTTGGGGCCACGTCGTGGGGATGGGGACAGCGTCAGGGATGGGGACGGTGTCACAGGGACGGGGACGGTGTCACGGGGACGGCGTCGGGGCCGCGTCACAAGGATATGGACAAAGTTGGGGACGGGGACGGTGTCACGGGCCAGGGACAGTGTCCTGGGGCTGGGGACGGTGTCACAGGGACAGGGACAGCGTCAGGGCCGCGTCACGAGGATATGGACAACGTTGGGGACGGGGACGGTGTCATGGGGACAGGGATGGTGTCACAGGGATGGGGACAGTGTCACAGGAACGGGGACGGTGTCACGGGGACGGGGACAAGGTCGGGGCCGTGTTGCGGGGATGGGGACGGTGTCACAGGGACGGGGACAGCGTCGGAGCCGCATCATGAGGATAGGGACAACGTTGGGGATGGGAACGGTGTCACGGGGACGGGGACAAGGTTGGGGCCGTGTTGTGGGGATGGGGACGGTGTCACAGGAATGGGGACGGTGTCACGGGGACAGGGACAAGGTTGGGGCCGCGTTGTAGGGATGGGGATGGTGTCACGGGGACGGTGTCACAGGGACAGGGACAGCGTCAGGGCCGCGTCACGAGGATAGGGACAACGTTGGGGACGGGAACGGTGTCCCGGGGATGGGGCCGGGGTCACGGGGCCGGGGTCACAGGGCCGGGGCCGCATTGCGGGGCCGCGGCGGCACCTGCGTGGGCGCCGTCGAAGACGTGGTCCTGCAGGAAGGCGGCGAGCTGGGCGCGCAGCCCCGCGTCGGGCGGCAGCGCCAGCGCCGGCGGCTCCCTGCGCGGCCCCAGCACCAGCAGCAGGTCGCTGAGCACCGCGAACGCCTGCGGGGCGCGGGGACCGCCCGCCGGGTCACCACGGTGTCACCACGGGGTCACCACGACCCCACCGCGCTGTCACCGTGTCCCCATGCCATGCCCATGTCACCACGGTGTCGCCACATCCATCCGCATCATCCCCATGTCCCGTCACGCTGTCCCCGGGTCCCCCCTGTGCCGTCCCCATGTGCCCCCTGCACTGTCCCCGTGTCCCCCCACG